ACAGTTCCCTCGACCCTCAGACCAAAGCTGATCTCATTTGGAAAGACTTCAATGTGTTTGTCGAAGCCTTTTTGTTGCAGACTGCTCGTCTCTCTCCCGTGTCGATGCGCGCCACGCGCCGCGCCAAGCGAGGCAAGGGCACTCCAGCGGTCTTTCGACAAATTAATCAAGCGGTTCGAAAGCCCTACGACAATGGTGCTCCCAATAGACTTCGAGTTTTGTACAGACTGCTAGGTAGAATGCAGGAACTTGCTTTCCGACGCATCCGGCAGCAGGCCATCCCGAGCGAACTCCAGCTCAAACTTCAGCGCTGTCCCTCGTGGACACCGCAGTTGACCATCGCTGAAGTGAAGCAGCAAATGTCCGACTTAGAAACGCATCAGCGGGAGTCTAGGATCCGCCACTGGGAAAACAGACTCCGTGGATCCCAAAAGGAAGTGTTTGCCTGGCTCAAACGAGTGAAGTCCCCCCCTACTCATATGATTTTCAACGATGAAGGTGAGCTAGGGTTAGGGGAGCCGGCCGCGGTTTCCACTCAAGACGCCCTCGAAAAAATCAAATCCTTTTGGTACAGAGAATGCAGTCAAAATGAAATACTGCCTGAAGAATATTTTCAGCTTTGGGACATCCCGGCAAGAAACCCTGAATGCTGGGCACCGGTTGACACTGAAAGTATCATCAAGAGCGCCCGCCGCCAGAAGCATAAATCAGGCGGGACTGACGGGTGGACCGGAACTGAAGTTTCCCTTTTCCCTTCTTGCATGTGGCGCGATATTGCGGTCTTGTTCGGATGGTTTGAGGTCCTCGGTCATTTCCCCCAGATCTGGGGAGAGGTACGTCAGGCCCATCTCATGAAATCTCACGCCCCGCGGTCTAGTGATGGAGCCGTGCCCGCTAGCAAAATGCGACCCATTGCTGTTATGTCGGTCTGGTATCGTATGTACACCGGGGCCCTTCTCCGAACTTCTCAAGCCCAGGACTGGATTAATTCCGTTTTGGATCCTGTCCAGCACGGATGCCGTCAGAAACATGACTGTCTCCAAGCTGTAGTTCCCCTCGCTTCGGCTCAAGCTCAGGGACATTTCATTTGGTCATTAGATCTCTCTCAAGCGTTTGACAGGTTGAGGCCTGAAGTGGCTCTGAGCAGTCTGACTCATTTCGGGTTCCCCTCTCTCCTTGCCAACGCCTTCCAAAAGATTTGGAGCTCTCAGCGCCGCGTGCTGCAATGGCAAGGCGAGAGTTTTCCGGTTCCCTGCCATGTGGCAAGTAGCGTTCCACAGGGTGATCCGTTGAGCCCCTGGGCTATGAACGTGGTTTTGCGAACACCGACAGCGGTCATTCGCCGTCTCCATCCTACCGGTGTACTTTCAGTCTTTATGGATGATCGAAGCTTTTCTGCTGAGTCCCTTGAGACTGGAAAGAGCATTTGGGAAGCTTGGAAGAACCATTCTGCATGCCTTGGCCTCAGAGAAAATTTGGCTAAAACACAAATCTTCTCACGCACACAAGACGGCCAGTTTCAGATCCGCAGTGACCCTGAGACGGCTCCGTGGGCGAAGGACGCCCTGGTGGCATTAGGTGTTTCTTTCACCCCTCTGGGGTGCAAACCCACTCAGTAAGACAGCGACCGGTTCTCCAACGCCTTGAAGACCGCCGCAAAACTCAAAGTTGCTCCTGTGCTGGCCAAAGAACGTCTCCTTCTTGCTGCATCCGCTGTGACCACAAAGGCTACGTACGGATGGGCATTGCGAGCTCCTCCGCTGCGCAGTTGCACACAACTTGATAGTCGACTTCGAGCAGCTGGTTTCGGTCATAGGTCCGCATCGGTGCCTCTGACCCACTTGCTCTTGGGTCACACGACCAGTTCAATGTTTATGGCTGGCTATTTGGCGAGTCTCGCCCTATACCGCAGTCACCATCTTGAAATGAAGGTCGCCACAGACTGGGGCCTTGCAGGTGGTTTCGTCCAACGAGTACGAAAATTTCTGGCCTCCTTAGGCTGGTCGAGCCCCAGGCCATGGCTGTGGAAACACATCCCTCTCAACCTACGTTTTTCTCTTGCACCACGACACTCTGATTTTCCAGACAGTAAAGACCACTTCGGTCATCTCCTCCGGGAGAGCTGGAGATATTCTATGTGGAACTGTTTCTTACAACAGGATCGAAAGGACTCTGCGGCGTTGCGGAATGTTCCCTATGACTCTGGTCGTATCAAAGCTGCGGCTACTGCGGCGCACCGAGGCAATGCTCACGAAGTGAACATTTTGTGTGGTGGCTTCATTAGCCCTATGCGGTTTCACCAAAATGCTCGGTCAGAAACCAAACCGAGTGGTTGCTGTCCATTTTGTAGTTTCTTTCCTGGAGATCGGAAACATCTCTTTTGGGATTGTCCTGTGAGGAACCCTAACCGTACGGAACCTTCGGATCTTACTGAAGCCGTGTTGGGCTGGCCGCCGGTTGGCGGCCATTCTGACACTTTGTCCCGCCTAGGGCGGGTACGCAAGGAGATGCTCGATCACCGTTATGGTGGTGCCACCCCGGGGGGGCGGGGGGGGGCGGGCATCTAAGGATTGGTGCTGCTGTGCGTGGCGGTGTACCCGCGCTGAATGCTGCCTTGCGTTAGCGCTGTGGTCGTCCGTCATCGTCTACTTTCATCATCATCCGTTTTCAGGTCACTTTTGAAGAGTTTATTGATGGAATTATGAGATGCAAAGGCCCTGCGCGTGCCATTGATTCACGGCCCCGATCTCCGGGCAGCGGGAATGGTTTCGAGGTGTTTGCGCGTACGACCAACGGGCGTGCGTTCCAGTTACAGGACGCATCTAGTCTCAAACAAAACTTCGGACTGAGGCCATGGCGGCCATGGCGGCCACTGGGTTTGTCATGACTGGTTGGAGGATGTCCTGGTTACGCAAAGGTGCAAACTGCAAACCCCATCGGCGCTCTGAATGTAGTTTATGTGTTGGGATGAAATGGTTGGTAAGTGAATTGTTCTATCCTTTCGGCCTGCAGATGATTGTCTCCCCCCAAACATCTGTTGGAGCAGGATTTGACAGCGACTTTGGGGCGCTAAGTGAATTGTGCTATCCTTTCACCCGGTGATTGTCTCCCCAAAACCATAAAGGGGTCGTTTTGCGTGCCCGTGCCGTTCCGTGCGGTGGGCGTGCCCGTGTGTGCGTTCAGTGCTGCGTGCGTTTGGGCCAAAACACATGTTTGAGCAGGATTTGACAACGACTTTGGGGCGCTAATTTGAATAAGTGAATTGTTCTATCCTTTCGGCCTTCAGGTGATGGTCTCCCCAAAACACCTGTTTGAGCAGGATTTGACAACGACTTTGGGGCGCTGTCAAACTCTTGATTGGGCACTGGGCTTGTCATGACTGGTTGGAGGATGTCCTGGTTACGCGAAGGTCCCAACCCCATCGGCGCTCTGATTGGGATGAAATGGTTGTGAAGTGAATGGTTCGATCCTTTCGGCCTTCAGGTGATGGTCGCCCCAAAACACCTGTTTGAGCAGGATTTGACAACGACTTTGGGTCGCTGTCAAATCCAGCAACTGGATCCCAAATACGGCCTCAAAATCCTAGACTTCAAGCTCATATTTGGGATCCAGTTAAAGGGGTCGTTTTGCGTGCCCGTGCCGTTCCGTGCGGTGGGCGTGCCCGTGTGTGCGTTCAGTGCTGCGTGCGGTGCCCGTGTGAAGGGATGATAATATTCAGGCACTGGCACACTTCACATCAACTCAATTCCTCCATCTGAAGGTAAGCTAAGCTATCATCATTCATCCAAACAGTGTCCCTTGCCCGCGAAGTCAGACAGCGAAGTGGATGTCAGACAGCGAAGTGGAAGAGACCACCAGAAGCTACTAGGAACGAGTAAGAACCTGACACTTGACACAAGCAGTGAGGTGAAAGCATACCAAGAGGTGGAGGCCAACGCTGCAGCGATGAGATTGTGAACAGGATCCTCCAAAAAACCATTTGAAGGCAAGCTATCATCATTCATCCAGAATCCAAACAGTGTCCCTTGCCCACTCTCAGGATCGCCCTCTCAGGCATTCGTAGCAGCAGCAGTTTCTGAAGGCGCGTCCTGAAGGCGCGTCCCCAGGCGCGTCCTGCAGGCGCGTCCACAGGCGCGTCCCGCAA